AGAAAGAAACGTGTAATTCAAACTAAGTAAAATAAACTTGATTACAATTATGATTACAGGTTTAGAGCATTGAAATCATTGAAATAGCTGTAGGCATGTGCAATTGAAGACTTATTCAATTGGTGACAACTAACATTGAAAGATTCCAATGGCCGTGAGCATTTACAGTTGAAGCCTGTGTTGGCTGCAGTTAACATTAAAGGATAGCCATAGCCACAGGCATTTAGTGTTTAAAACAGTGGTGATTGCAGTTAGCACTTTACAAGAGTTCAGATACGCAACAGAGCATAGTACACTAGCGCTGAAATGAAAAACGTGGTTCATTGGATACAAACAGAATCGTGATGCAGCGAAGTCTTGAAGACCGCGCACGTACGCAGGCGCGTGTAGTGAAGGAGATGAGGCAACGGTTGACAAGCACTTGTGGCAACTAGAAGCCTAGGAATGCCGTGAATCACAACTGGCAAGAGCAGGAACTTACTTGAATGCCGAGGAAGCGGACACCGTTGCACAACAGGCATGCGATTGTTTCGGCTTTAGATTTTAGATTTATTCAGTAAAAAAAAAAAAAAAAGAAACTGTACGTGACGTAGGTGGGAGAAGATCTGCTCACGTTTTCTTGAGTTCCAGAATCCCTTCCCGTCATTTTAGTTGAAATGAGTAAAAGTTTAACATAAATAAATAAAAATAAATTTTAAAAATAGAAAGATTGGCAACATTTTAAAAATAGTAATTTTTGTTTCTGACTTCTAGAAAACTCATTTCCATCTGTACACGAATTGCAGGTATGATTTCTGCATTGCTAACAAAATAGCAACTCGGCCTTACCTCTACTCTTACCATTACAAGCAAAAGGAGAGTTCAACAAAACGTGCGCATAGTGAAACTACGTTTACGTCCAGAAGCTATGGACCATCTCAGCATTTGCTCAATGGATCAGGGAAACTGGACAAAAACCTGATCGAGATGGTTTATGATATGATAATGTGCAACACATATTAAGAGAACAGTTGTGCTAGGAGCATGCAGTTACATGCGCGTTCAATACAGTGTGGCAAAACGTTTATAACGACCACATTAATTGGATTGTTACGGAGTTCTGGAAGAATGCACAAATGCACGTCTAGCAGCGACGTATCCACGTGGCTGCTTCTGCATGATGCAATCACATACGTGGTAGTGGCTAACATGAACTTAGCGTGACGCATTAAAGTGCATTGTTGAATAGAAAATACTGTTATCAAAAGTATCCGGACACGTGGCTGAAAATGATTTACCTGTTCTTGGCGTCCTCCATCGGTATTACCGGAACTAAATGGGGTGGTGACCCACCCTTTGCCTTGATGACAGCTTCCACTCTTGAAGGTATACTTTCAATCAGGGTTTCTTAGGAAATGGCAGTCCATTCTTTACGGAGTGCTGCACTGAGGAGAGGTATTGATGTAGGGCAGTGAGGGCTGCCAGGAAGTCGGCGTTTCAAAAAATCCCAAAAGTGTTCGATAGGATTCAAGTCGGAACTCTGTGCAGGCCTGTCCATTACAGGAGTGTTATTGTCAAGTAATTACTCCGCCATAAGCCGTTTAGTATGAACAGGTGATCGACCGGCTTGAAAGATTCAATTGCCATCCCCGAATGGCTCTTGAACAGTGGAAAGCAAAGTGTTTAAAACAACATAGGTCTGTGCCGTGATAGTGCCCCACAAAAAACAAGGCGTCCGCAAGCACTCCCCATGAAAAATCTTTTGATCACACAATGTAACCAGTTTGAAGTGAAGTTAGTAGAGAAACGCACACTGCGTGTTTGAGAGCGGCACAGAGTATGGCCATTCAGGAAGGCAGCCTGGGAGCAACTGATCTTGTTACACTGTTCGGTGTGAAGCGGGGAGTCCGGCCGTACGACCGCCGCTGAGACGGGAGCGAGCCGAATCCGTCGAGCGACGAGCTGTTGTCTGCTCTGGAAGTCTCGACAGTCGAGTGGCCCAGGCCGGCGAAAGAATTAATTCACACATAGAAATGTGAATTGTAGGACGAGCTGAGTGTGCAAAACTAGGATGCTGATTATGCAGAGAGTTCTAAGTGTCATTGAGTTACATTCTGGAATGCCTAGGCATTTGTAGACATTTTTATTCAGTTTCAAAACCGTGTGTGCACGTAAACTCCAGCAATTTTTCTTCAAACAATCAGGGTTTTCTTCGAACATACCACCTCCACCATTCTCTTCAACGTCCTTCATCCAACATCATTTAATCAAAACGGTTGGAGCCATTTGTTTGAAAATGCGGAAAATGTCCAGTGTAAAGTACCCTCAAAATTTAAAAAAATGTTTCAAATTTAAGTAGCTGCAAGATCAGGTAGATCGATTGGGGGATATCAATTTTGGAGAAAATCGGCTGAAAGGTTCAGCCGCTAACATGACAGACGGACGGACGTTTTGCAATTTTCAATTTCAAAGATCCACAAAACCTGCATTCTGGCACCACCACGTGATAAAAACTTTTTTCTAAATTAAGCAACTGGATCAATCCAATTTTCGATACCAGGGCCTTGTGCGGAGGTTTTCTGCCGAAAATTTGCAGTTTTTGCGCACAACATTACATAACTTTCTATTCCGTAGCGAGAAAATAAAATCTGTCTCAAGACAAAGATTAGTAGTGCTAGAGAATGGCAGAGACTCGTACTCGTGTTCTAATCTCTTTGTCCCTGATAGGTTTTCGGTGTTACTCTTTCTCCCTGCCAGCTGTTATTTACTTTCATAGCATAATCCAGGTGGTGACTTATACGAGGGCGGGGCGATACGCAGTACAGTGTGCAAGCTACGCAGTAAACAATTGAAAGCGCTGCTAGTGCAAAAGCATACGGAACGAAGCGGCCGGAAGAGTTGCCGTGAGTGGAGGAAGCTAATATGAATGGGTGAAATCCAGAACGGTATAAGTGATATTCTATAAATTCAAAATCTGTTTAGGTCAATATTACTGTAAAGTCGTGGTATCTTGTTTCGTCATTAAAACAACGGCAATTCAATTGTTTATTAAAAACACGAAAATACATTGCCACTAAAATATAGCCTAAAATAGTTTTCTCAGAGATTAGAAAATGTCACTTACACACTCTGGTTTTCACTCACTGATATTGTCATATTCTTTGAAGTGCTCTTATTTTCGCGGCTATTTCCAGTTATATTTTACTGTTCTGACTGTAGATATTTATCATGTTAATTCTCTAAAATATTGAAAAATAATGTTTAAAACTGTGGAAGCGCCGCATATATCGATAGTAGAACATCGTGCCATAGATCCTTCAGTTTCAACCTTTGAGAACAAATATAGTATTGATGGATTAATTAATCTAAATTTATTTACTTTTAACTTGGAATTCCAAAGTTAATTGTTTAAATATTTTAGACTAAAATTAGAGATGCAAATGTTTTATTGCCTTGAGATGATTTAATGCTTGTAGGCCTTATAAAGTGCAACTGAATGAATGTAAAAGTCACATGTACCGAGTGACTAACTTGGCGGTAAACAAGTTTGTCAGCGAAAGGCCCGCTACCGGATTCCATGCCCTGCTAAGTGTAACGTCATGTGAAAGCGTCTAGGCTTGTAATATAAGCAGCGGCTTCTCGTACAAGATTCTTATTAAAAGGAAAGAAGTTGTACAATTACTATTACTTTAAGTGAAGCGGATAGCAGAAAGCAGATAGTCGTATTGGTTCGATCTGCTCAATTATTTTGGTATCCACCAGCCGACGGTGCTGCCATGGGCGTGAGATATTACAACGTGCATCTTCTACATAGTGGCTCAGATTCAGGCTCGTGAGAGCGCCCAAGAAGCGAAGAATATTAATTTAATACTAATAGCTGATAATGAATGGCATTCCACAGGAGGAACATAAAGCCATATACCTGCACTAAAAACATGTTTATTAACGCCGCGGCGCTGTGCTCTATGGACCATTCTACACGAGAGCAGTGTTGCCAGATTGAACGGAATTCCCCTTCTTGGGCTGTAAATCGGCTCTTTCGCGGGACAAAAATTAATATCGCGGAATACTGCCCGATGGGCGGTAATGCATCAAAACGTGTGCGGTTTTCAGCGGATTTTAAAATATGACGAAATTTAAAAAAAAACGCAGAACCACATTGACAAAGAGTTTGATTGTATAGTTTTTTACTTTATACATGATTTTTCATTACACATTTGTTAATTTCAGAAGCGCGTAATTTTAGTAATATGTCAAGAGTAGGGCAATGTTAGACCTCTAGTAGGGTGTGTTTTAACTCATAGCATCTTTGTCGTGGCAAAAATGAGGAAATTTTATGTCACGTTGGCAATACTTAGTTCATTTCATAACACTCCATTTAAAATTAGGCTTAGCTAAAATTATCCCCAAAACATTTCAATGTGATATGAAATTGTGATAAAACATATTTTGAAAATAATTATTTTATTCCTTAACATATTCTTCCCATCTGCTATTATCTTCAGATTAGTCATAAATAAATTTTCAAATTTTAATCTGAAACTTATTATTGCAAAAAGTATATTTATACATACATTAATAATTACAATGTTCAAAAACAAGAAAAAATAAAACTAATCAAGCATTTCATAGGGTCACTACGTCAAAAACAATTCAAATGTATATTATTTTAATGCAAGTTCAAATTCCCCGTTTACAAAGTTGAATTTTACATGTTGGCTCTAAATCCCTAGAATTCCGCCCAAGTAACGGCGTATGTTTGTGCGAAGCATCTGGCGACCCTACAAGAAAGAAGGAAACGCTGATAATTACTCCTAAAAAAATTTAAGATTTCGTGGCTCTCAGACACCTAAAAAGCGCGCGAAGTTAGAAAACTGGATCAAACTCCGTTAACTATGAACTAAAAAATGTACATTCTTACTCTTCCATCACTTCTACTTCTCTTACAAAATACTTTCTTTGGTAACTTCATTATAAATGTGTGTGTGGGAACAGTCGTTTCTCCCTTCCCTCTTCTTGAGACACCGCCACTGAACATAGGTTTGTTCCATTGCAGAGTTCTTGCCAGTCGCCGCCCCCTGAAGCTTCTTGAGAACCGCCATGGCCCCCGCTGCGCTACGTCTGGCTGTGGCCCTAGCAGCGCTGTACTGCGCATGCGCCAGCCCCACCGACGCCTCCGCCACCGCCACCACCGTGCGTAAGTATTGAATTAATTGAATTGAATTAATGCCTTATTTTACGTGGCGAGACTCGGACCATCGGGCCTGCTCTTTCGTCTGACCACGCAAATTTCGCTATGCTCCTTTCACCGACTAGCGGAGAAAGGAGGTATTTCTTGGGCGATATACAGGCGATTTTTGAATTTAGCTCAGAAGACGTCAGTAGTCATTTAGGCTTGAGGATATTTTACATGCAAGTAAATCTACATCTACTATCATGAGACAGCTGGCTTTACTTCCCCTCCGAAGCAAGGCGTACCCCTTAACTTCGCCCTTAAAAAATCCACTGCTTCGATCGGGTCTGTACCCGCCAACTTGGGTACGATACGTTAACAGTTACACCATCGCCGCGCGCTAGTGTACTTAGCCATTAGTATTTAGCTATTAGTATTTGCATTTAGCCATTTTACGTCCCGTAAAGGGCAATGGCCTCGGCGACGTTAGGTCCCGGGGTTCCTAGTCGGTCACCCAACCAAGCACGTGCGAGGTCTCGAATTCGCTTAACCTTCGTGACAACGTAGTTAACGAATTCGGGTAGCGATCTCGGTTTTGCGGTCTTGGCCTTTCAGTACAACCATCCCAACATTCACCTAGGTGGCCGAGGGAAGCCCGGCCCTATCAGGCCGGCATGGGGATCGGAGCCGGCCTCCCAAATACGAAGTCAACGCTCTACTCAGCCATATTGCTTGGTCGTGCGCAAAATGCTGCTGCAATTCAATTAAATGCAATGGTGCCTTATTTTCCGTGTCGAGGCTCGGGCAACAAGGCCTGCTCTTCACCAGGCAAAGTAAACTTTGTTTCGCTCCTTTCGCCATCTAGCAGAGAAAGCAGACATGACTCGAACGGCGAAACATGCGATTTGAATTTTGCCAGAAGGCTTCTTTTAGGTTTGAGGATTTTTATATGCAAAAAATCTTCGTGGTACAACCGCTTGACATTCTCTCTCAAGGAAGTTTTTCTACTTTGAAAATCTTCGAAACTTGGTTTAAATCCCGCGAACTTGCATATGGCAAGTCCAATATGCTAACCCTTGCACCATCGAAGCCACATAAAATGGGTACAGTTTGCCCAAGAAATCTCTGCAGTTGTCGACCGTTTTAACCCATTAAGTACCGTGATCCTCAAATGGGAATTCTGTAGTCTTTGTTGTGCCACAATATTTGCTTCTTTTGCATGATTTGCGAATTTCTTTAACGAGCGGAGACTTACTAAATGAAACGTGTAACAAGTTTTGGCATTCCTGATGTCGATGTAGCAGAGATGGCTAAAGAACTGTACGCTACTGGCCTGGGTGTACTTAAGACTAACATCGAATGACTTAAGTCTGTTCGAATCGTCTAAAGCCGTGCTTAGCTGCCATATGCCTGTGGATAAATAGAACGCGTACCATTGCTTTTCTGGAAACGTCTCAATGTTCCAAGTCAATGCAAATTGTTCCTAGTATTGTATTATCTAAACTTAAGACTAAAAATGTTCTGTGGTGTTAGTAAATGGTTTCACTGGTTTTATGGCCTTTCTTACACGACATGCAAAAGAACATGTTTTAGCAGAAGATGTCTCTCAAAAAACTAGTCAGTAGAAGTTTTGACATGGCTTTCAGTGAAGCAGAATCCCTCTGTGACGACAGAGTACAGAGACTCTCGCGCGAACTGTTTCTGCATTGAGACACACTACGTAATCCTCAAGAGTGTTTTTAGATGTAGGACGAGGAACTTTATAGATGTAGTAGGAAGATAGTAAAATAATTTACTAAAATCCTTTCCAAACATTGCTTTGAACACTGTTAGTTTTTGGCGTTTGAGAAGTCTGAAGCAAAACATTAAAATCTAATTCACGATTCTGGCACTCTACTGTGACAGACTGCGACTAACACGTGGACACTATAAATTTCTGAACTCAGTGTTGGACGCATGATGAAAAGACATGGGTGAGCTATTGCGTAGCTTATCGGCTTTCAGTCAATAATCTTCATGCACCAGTTTGGTAGGCAACATTAGCGTGAATTTTAAATGCAGCCAGATATCAAAAATATTAAATTACTGCAGGTCATTGAAACTGATACAAAACATTTTTTTTAAACTATTGCAAGTTTTTATTCCAACTACCCCTTGATAGTGTTATTTTTGATTGGTCACCATTGAGTTCGACAGATGATAAAGTTATGTCACTCTCAAAATGTTTCTCAACACTTATTTTGCTTGCCATGCACCATGGCAGCCAGTGTACGCTTTTCAAACAAAGTGCCCTTCTTGTGGTCTCTTGTTTTGTGACTTATCTGGCGTTGCGAAGAACGAGCAAAAATCGTTGCGCTGGGGCAGCTAACACTTGAATTTTTATCACTGGTGGAAAGAGGGTGTATCCAGAACGAACGAACATCACCCTCACCCGTAAATTTCGTTAGTTTCGTAACAGAATTCCTCAGTGCAATTCACAATGCCCTTCTCTTTTAGGTTTTGCCCTCTCCACCCTATAAATAGCAGCGAAATCGCGACGGGAAGGAGTGATACAGTGACCTGAAGTTCCGATAAAATATTGCTCCCTCTCCATAAACGGTGAAAATCACGGAACAACCAATCAGAGGTGCTGCACTTCCCATGTTTACTTTTGCAAGAGCATACTACGGTCCAGCTTCTTCCTTTTGTCTGAAACCTCAGTCTCCAGTTGAATATCGGACTTCCCAGTATACGAAGCCCTAGTTTCCAGAATCGTAAGCCAAAGTCCGCTAAATTTTATACTGAAGCATTGTACATCTCGTTCGTGAGATAACAGAATAACTATTCCACGATTTTCAGTGTTCTCGTTACATGAACCAGATTATCACACCGGTTATAATCTCTAAATTCCTTGTGTATTATTAAAGTAAATTTTTAATTTTTTTCACGTTAATCAAATTTGTATGGTTCATCTTTGTTTTAAGTTTCCCGTTTGAAGTTGCAAGTTCACTTCTTAGCAACTGAACTACAAAAATCAATTACCACACTGCGAATATTTGTGACGAAAAACTGTCTACCGGATTTCAACATTTTTACTCAATTACGTAAAGATCCCGGAAACTACCAGTGGTAAATTTCTTAAAACCGAGAAACCACTAGTCCGCGACCTCACCTGAAGCTCCTATGTTGCGAAGTTCACGGCAAGATATGAAATTCCATCACGCCAGAACCGGTCAGTGCCCTTGAAGGTAGTGACCAATGAGTCATTGGCTCTCACTTTCCCCACACCTTCTCACCTGTCCCGATGGCTGATAAGCGAAGTGCAGCGCTGCGAAAGACTTCCCGATGTGCTCATCTGTCTTCGGGACGCGTTCGGCCTCGTCATTCACCGTTCGTCACCGAAGTACAAGCGGCCGCCCGCACTCTTCGCATGCAAACTGCACGCATTGCAACGCGCAATTCCCGCTGAGCATCGGCTGGCCTGTGCAAACTGCAAGGATCTGCTGAGGTGGCTCAGAGCATCAACTGAGAGCACTGCTGAGCCTCTGACTGGAATGTGCTAAAGTTAGTCTCGACGGAGCCAGGATTTTCGTTATTAGCGGATAGGTAGGTCGAGTTTAGCCGGGAAAAGAATGCTAGCGTCTTGCTGTTCTAATAGTAGTTTCTCCGATCAGTACCTAAAAAATACCGGAGCAGTACTTTACGAAACGGGCCACGTACTGCGCGCGATCTTTCATCTTCCTCTCCCTTTTCCTATTTTTACTCGCTTACTTACACGCCATGCACTGTACTACCACATATGCCGGGAGAGCCGTTGGAAGCTTAGATTGTCCCAGTTGTTGTGCCCCGCTAGGGATAGATACGTAGAGGAGAAATCTTCGTAATAGGTCGTGTAGCTCTGCCTCGGATATCGCCGTCCCTCGGGCAGACCACCGCCACATCTCGAGATAGAAGTGCACTCCTTCAACGGGACAGTTTACGTGCCCGAAAATAGTCATTAAAAAGGCAGTCAAAATTGTATACACAAGGTAGTTCTGGTTCGGTTTCGAGTTTGTACATCTACTCTCGAGGTAAAATTAATTATGGTCTTATTGCTTACCTGTAATGCTCTATAGTGAATTATTCATTTATTTCCATTTTTTTGAAATAGGGTTTAGTTTCGCGCTTTTTTCCTGCTTACGCAGTTTGCAGTCTGAACTGCAAATAAGAATATAGACACGTGATTACGTAGTGGGGTCGCATATGAACCGATTACATCGTACACGTACCTCCCCACCTAAGCACTTGTAGAGAGCATGTGTCCATCCACGAACTTCACGTTATGGTAATATTACATTAGGACAATATTAAGCTTAAACTGAAATTGTAAAAAGATGGGGCCGGCTGAACATTCTAGAATTTGTAAACCGTGGTTTGAGAAACGAGTGCGTAATGTAAACGGATAAAACATTATAATATGTGTTAACGTGTTGACTAATACGAGAGTTGGGGGCAGAAGTAATGTCAACTTTTTTTTTCTAAAAGTAATGTTATCGGGTCGCACAATTTGTTTTCACGTGCAAGAAATGCTGTAATTTGTTCACAACAGCAGTTGGCTCTGCGTGGATATTTATAGGTGATAAAAAATATCTAGGACAGTGGTCAAAAAATAAAGATAGAGAATAATGCTCGAAAAATAAAAGGATATAAATACGATAAATACACATTACATAACGCAAGATATTACATACATGCCTGCCTTCAATACTGTCAAGTAATTTGTCTTGTTGCATGTCCAGACGTCAAACTGGCTCCGTGAGGCGCAAAGCTACTTTCAACGGGAAATAAATCTTAGAGGTATAAAATCGAAAATCCTCATACGCAGCAAGAAATTAATGTTGGCACTAAAATATATTTTTTCAAAAATAACGTAGAAGAGAGCGAAGTTAGTTAGTCCCGTCTGTGGTTACTGGAATGGATGATTAATTATATTGTTTTCAAATAGCCTATGTATATATTTAAACTATATTTTTAAACTGTTTTTTTATTAAAATTGATCAAACATC